TTACATTCAAAAATAAGGAATTCCTTATTTTTGAATTTTCCTAAACATATTTTATTTATCAATATTTTCAAATACATTAAATATTTAGAAAATCAGATCATTAAAATTATTTATAAAAATTTTGAAATAAATTAAATATTTTTTCAATTCCTGCTAATATTCTTAATGTTTTTAAATATGTTTCTAAACATGTTTCGAAGTATTTTCTAATACTTTTGAATATACCGTAATTATCGAATTTGTGGCTCCCCCCGCAATAAGAGCCCCCCCTGTAATAAGCCCCCCTCCCTGACCCTGTTTGAAAAATAAGGCCACCCCCCGAAATTACGCCCCAGGGGCCGTTATTAAATGTCAAGCGCTGCAAGTTGATTGGTGTACCGCAAATGCTTTTTAAAAATTGTTGTGCTTATGAGCAAACATTAAACGCACATCAGTATAATGCGGTATTTGTTGGCAAAAAGGTGTACAGGGACCTCAGTATACGCTCGAAAATGGTGCAAGGAAGGTTGCGCTGTTGCGTATACCGGTAACTACTGCGTTCAGGTCCACTAGAACCGGATGCGAAGTTGTTTGACATATAATGCCCCCTCCCAAAAAATACCGTTCGAAAAATAATGCCACTCCCCGAAATTGCGCCCCCTCCCCGAAATAAGCCCCCTTCCGCCATAGCCTTCGAACTATTTGTGCCTCAGGGCCACAAATTCGATAATTACGGTAAATAATATTTAAACAAAATAAAAAAATTGAATTAATTATGAAATAAGGAAACCAAATTAAATATTTGTCAGCCTTCTGGATGTTTCCTCAATATATCAAAATGCTTCTAAAAGTGTCTTTTAATATTTCTAAGAATATTTCAAAGATGTTAAAATATTTCTTAATATTTCTAAATTCTGCTAAACTCTTCAAAACTTTTCTAAACAAAATGTAAATATATATCTTTGTGAATTTCTAATATTTTGATATATGTTTTTAAATATTTTTAGAAAAACTTAGAAATACTCGTAATTTTTACATGTTTTGCAAATATTAATAATTCTAAATATAATAATTATTTTTAAAATGTAATAAATATCATAAACAACTGATCTAACAAATATTAGTAAAATATCTTTTAATTTTAAATATTCCTAAACAGTTTTAAATACATGCACAAATATTTCTAAGTATTTCTTAGTATTTCTTGGAATATTTCTAAATATCTTTCTTGGTATATTTTGAAACATCTTTAAGTATTTCAAAACATTTATAATTTATTTCTGAAAGCTTTTAAATACTTCTAAATGCTTCTGAATATCCGTAAGTAAATTTTTAAAATATCTGATAATTTCAAAATTTTGCTGAGTTCTTTGAATGTTTAGTGTTTCTTAATACGTCCTAATATTTCTAAATTTATTTTTAAAGAACAAAGTATATTTCAATAAAGAATATTTCAATTTCAATAAAGAATAACTTAAAGAATATTTCAAGATAAATTTCTAATTAATTCAAGAAATAATTCTGAAAACATTTCTACAAATAATTTACTTGTTTTGAAATAATTCTAAGTCTTACTGAATGTTTTTGAATGTATGCATAAATACTTCTAGATAGTTTAAATACAGATACAAATATTTCTAAGTATTTCTCAGTATTTCATGATGTATTTCTAATTATCTTCAAATGTTTTAAAATGGTTCTGAATTTATTTCTGAATATTTTTAAATATTTTTAGGTGCTTCTAAATATTTTTAAATAGATATTCAAATAAATATAGTTGAATATTTTTAAATAATGCTAAATTTTTTTAATGTTTGTGAATATTTCTAATTTTATTACTAAAGATTTCAGAAATTTATATATGTATTTCTAAATGTTTATAGAAATAATTCTAAATATTGTCTAAAAAAAGTTTACATATTTTTAAATATTGCTAAATTCTGGTAAATATTTTAAAATATATTTATAAATAATTGTTATCATTTTCAAACATGTTTGTAAGCATATATTTAAATATTTAAATGAATTTTTGAATATATTTTTAAATTTGTTAAATTTTTCAGGCATCTCCTGATTTATTTCTAAAGATATTTCCAAATATTTTAGGTTTCATAGAAGATTTTTAATTTATTTCTAAAGGTTTTTAAACATTTTTAAAAAATTTTAAATTCTTTTAGTTATTTCTGAATAATTTTTAAATGTTTTGAAATACATATCTCGAAATAAAATTGATTTTTTCAAAATACGTTTTTTCAAAAAATTTTTATTTCAAAATAATGTTTTGCCGACTTATTTGGCAGCGCCATTTCGTACAGTCAGTTATATGGTTGGTAAGTTATATGGTATCGGAAGCATCTCGCCATTCAAAAAAATATCAAGTTGTTTTGACAGTACAGATACAATGCTTCCCAGTTGCATATATCGTTACGAAAGTATAGGTTTATCTTACCTTAGCTGGCATCGCAACCGTGACGTCGTGGTAGTACTCGTAATTACGATTGTTTGATGAAACGCTTAGTTGTGATATTTGAGTCATTCTACAGTCTACATTATGTACAACAGTTTTACAAATCTTTTCCCACTTCAGCATTTCTTCACATAGGGGGTAGCATCTTGATTCTTAATCGTCCGTAGTATTCTGCTGATTTGTTTTATCGAGAAAAATTGAAATTAAAAGCTAAGGAAACAATAAAATTTATTAATTATGTTGATTTATAGAACTTAATTTTGGAATAAAACAAAGAATTTAATGCTGACGGTATACCTCCAACATATCGGTGCAATAATAGAATTTTGCACAAAGTAACAGGGTTGCTGTCGTATTAAAGGTTGTCGCAATATTATTATGTACCACGGGAAATTATTACTCTTTAAGAAAATAATTTTGAGACAAGTCATTATTTGCACCAACACCAAAAACACATTAAAATGTCGTTAAGAATAATCATGCAATGGTAATGCTCAGATTTTGGGCACTGTTTTGTCTCATAATAATTGAAAGGGATTTTTCATTTAGATATGTAAACGCAAGGCGTTGCCGTTTGTCAAACATCCTGAATAAAGTCATCCCATATATCATACAGAGTTATTGGGTTTAGAAATTAGTAAACTGTTAATTTTGCACGCACGTTGTGCCATTCCTTTTGTTATTTTGTCGATTTAAGAAAAAAATGTACAAGGTGTTTCAACTCCTCCTGCCCTACACACAGCAGCAATATGGGAGTCATCCTTCATGCTGTCGTCTGTGTATTAACTTCAAAAAATGTCTACATGTCGCTCGCTTGCTTGCCCTTAGGGCTGCTGAGACCTATACTAGTAATACCGTATAGAATACTTCTGTTGTAACTGACAACAAACCAACAATAATTTAAGGATACTGTAAACAAAAATAAATAACAGAAATGAAAAATTTTTGAAATTAAGACAAATACCGTAGTTCAGTCAATAACGCACGCACTGCAGCTGAATTTCTTCGTCGTACCGCGTCATTTCAGGTGCCGCAGCCGTGCAGAGATCTCCACTGGGTGGCGCCAACACCGTGTTCTTTGTTTCGACCATCATAGACTTATTGATTTGGGGCTACGGTATCGGTATGGCTATCTGGTTTCCGCCGGGGAATTTCCTACTGGAGAGCGGACGTTTATTGGGCAGCCTCAACAGTGTCATAGATGCCACGGTATTCGTCTTATGTGTGCGTCGGACCCGAATGGTGTTCTACGCCTGGCTGCGACGCCGGCGCATTCCAGTAGTGATTGTAACTCCCCAATCGCAGACGTCGCGTGGTCGCGAAAAAAATCCAGCCGTTATGTCGAGAATTTTGACTTGACGCGCTCACAGTATGGTGTATCTGTTCTTTCTATGAGTCTGCATTAGCTTTAGCCGATTTACTGACTTTGTTTTATTTATTTTGCATCAGCGATAGCGTACAAGTATCGCTGTGTGTATATGCAGAATAAAACGTCTCCAGTGCCGAGATTTTTCTTCTAAAACTTGTTTGAAGATTTCGTGTACAAAACTGCTTGCAACATGTTACCTTTTCCATAAGGAAGGTTAAACTGAACTCTGCTGTGGGAGACAGTCACGCGCAAACTGGCTTCTGAGAATCACTTTGAAAAATCAACTCCTTCTCAGTGACGTGCAAGCTGGTAAACAAATCTCAACGGCCGGCACATTTAGCGGAATATGCAGTTATCTATTTAATTCGCAGGCCGGGATGCCTCGAGGGTGACTGGCTTATTCTTATACGTTCTATTAAGCGGATTAATTCGGACAGCCGTCGCCGAATTCCCCGGCCCTTGGCTCTCAGGTGGATCGCTTGGAAAAGTTGTGTTGTCATAAACGACAAATGAAAGTACAGTTTTCTTTATTCAAACATACGACATACCTACTCGTACGTCTTTAACTGTACATGTCTTATTTTACATAATGAACCAGTGCCGACTATTTTGTTGGTAAGCGCGACTATCGACTTAAATCTTCAGCCTGGCAGTGCTTCAGAAATCCTAATTACCGGTATATGCACCGATTTTAGAACTGGTCTACAGTTTAAGGAATGGTACGGGGTATTATCTATATAAAGGTAGCGCCTTCCATTTTTCGTTTACTTAACATCGTGCCATCGATACAGCAACCAATACTAACACTTTTCAGCCAAATTAGCTAATGAAAAGATCCCCCGAGAGCCATGACCTCAATCAGCAAAAGCCCTAATCTGCCACAAAGTACCAAAGAGCGTGGGTTCCGTCGTGTGTTGATTTCCGATGATGAACCAGCTTCCCGGCTGCGATAAACACTGCAGTATATTCTCAGTGCGTGCTTTGCCGCTATTGAACTTAATTACAACGTACCTATTTATTCACACCCACCCGTCATCAAAAATTTATTTTCACATCATCACAAGACACCAGTCGGAAATCCTATGTGACACTGCAGTAATGAAGCAAAATGATTCTCCAGCAACAACCCTTCATTTTATTTCATCATTTAAATTAAAACACTGCATTTTCCACTTTAGTAAAAAGATGATTAATGTGTCCACACTGCAAGTCAACATCTCGGACACATTCGGGAACCGGCAAGTCGAACTCGTCGCCATGATCTCCATCTTCACCGTCGCTTTCGTAATCGGCACATTTTTATCTTTAATTTTAACCGTAACCATCGCTTTTCGTCCGCGACTACACACCGGCTCGGGAATCTTAATCGCACATCACCAGTTTCTCCATGTTCTACAAACCGGCATCAGCAACCCGCTGTACATGTTCACCGGATGGATAGTATGGCTGGGATTATCTGTCAGCGGTATGAACTGTTTCGTCATGCATTTTTTTTGTAAACTCTTCACCTTTACGGAAATGTGGGCGTCACTGATGTTGGCGGTTAACCGGTTCGTGGCGCTGATCTTTCCGCATCATTATAATGCCATTTCCTCTAATAAAGCCATTACTGTGTTAATGTTAATTCCATGGTTAATCGGATTAGCGTTAACTGTTCCCGGTTTATACGGAATCGGGACATTATTCGGCAACCGCCAGGTGGATTGCGGCTATATTACCGTCACCTCTCACGCCGTCGCCACGTTGGTAATTGTCATGGGAGTTTATTTGCCATTGGCAATACAGGGACTTCTGTACGCTGTGGTGCTGATTGTGCATTACAGACAAACCAAAATTCATGAAGTATCTACGGTACAGAAAAAACGTTTTCTGTTGTTTCGCTTATTATTCGGTTCGTATTTGTGGTACGTCGTATGTTACGCGCCGCAACCAATTGCGCTGTATGGATTTCCACAGTTTTGGTTTGAAGATAAACTGCGCGCCGGTTGGTTCCAGTTGCTGCAGGAAGTGGGATACGCCGGAAGTCCCGTGAGTTTGCGAAATGACTACTCTATAGATTGAATAAACCTAATTATTTCTTGAGCTTGTTTTTGATTGATTAGGTGTTCCTGCTACTGATGAACAAAGACATCATGCACGATACAAAGGAGGGATGTTCTAGATTGTGCCACGCGCGCTCTAATTCCTCCGTGATGCCGTCAAAAATGATGGTTTCCTCTAATATGGCACTTAGCCGGCGCAAGTCATAGCCTTTTTACAGCAGATAATGATAGTGGAATTTTTAGTTTTTCTTGAGGAGTGCACCGGTTCTTAAATTGTCTTGCTACAAAATTATTGTGGCAATCATTAAGTCAGTACTTACAAATTTAACCCGTATGGTATTGTTGAACCACGACTTGAATTTCTGGTGATTCTAATATATTAGTGGTATACTCAGGTCATCTGTTGTGAATACATGTTGTCTCGCTCTATACATACTCTCCATTTGCTGTCTGAGTGCCCAAACAAAGAGGGGCAACCGCCCTGTGCAACAAGCAAGGGAAACGATTCTCCATCATTATTAATGCGATCGGAGCAGACAGGGTTCACAGTACTACCTCTTCCGAAATCACCTTCCAACCTGTCCAAAGCCAGCGAGTCTTGGCGATTTATCGCCACATGCACTGCTGCACAGATACAATCAATAAACTACGGTCATGACTAGACTCTCCTTACGATGCCCCACTCTGCCTGCTGCAATAACATTATATAAGATTAATAAGAAGGATAATATAAGAAGGATGTTATATTAGAAGGACATAACCGTATTCCAATTGTACGGACCATTTCTTTGAACTGCTCTTATTGAGTCAACTAAGTATTAGAAATTTCGCAGCCAGTTATTGGATCTGACCTATACCTACTCCCGTACTACGACTTATCCTTGCCTTTTTGACTGCCAAGTGGTTCTCTAAATTGCTTTTGAGTTTTGACAAATAATTTTCGCTGCCCGAAGATGCCGACAAAACGCCGTGAGCCATCTGCTCGGAATCTGACTATGGCTCATCTCTTGCAAAAAGTGGACAGGCTCAAAAATGAAAGGCGTTGTACGAAGGTAAACCGCGAAAAGTCATAGTTTATTTGACTTTTATTTATCAATATCCACTGAGTGCAGATGTGTAGGATTTATCAATATCCACTGAGTGTAGATGTAGGAATGCCATGAGTGTGTTATGTAAGGTCCCTTCTCGTGCCAACTGGGACAAATTTTTCATTTGAATGTATTTTTGAGCGATGCTCGTCTCCATACATATTGCAAATAAAGTAAATAATATCCACTTTTTACGTTGGCATCCTGTTGTAACTGCAGAATCATCAACTTTCTCTAACAATCTGTTATAATCTAAACGGGAAACGTAATATTCACATTATTTTAGAGTACATGATGGTATGCTGCGCATAAAAGACAGGGTAATCGGTGAAGTTGAAGTCGACCGCAGTTCAGTAGTACAAGGTACTGCTGATGTTGTCAATGCGAAGGTCGCTGCTGACGAGAAAGAAATCCCGGAGAAATCCCCAGCGGAACGGCGTCTATTTTTTGCACATTTGTACGACTCGATCACGCAAAGTAAGATAAAGCTGGGTTTGCTGTTAAACCCATTAAAAATCTTTTTAAGGATTTAGCCGTGAGTTTGGGAAAACTGACATGTATATTTTTTACGTCGTGTTTTTTGTAGCTTCTGATGATACTCGTACATCGAACGCTCGACTGGCGCTCAGCCGTCTGCACCGCCGGATATCCGGTGACATGCTCAATATTTTCGACCAGCTCATTAATCTGCAGGTGCCACAGGTACGGGAATGTGCCAAGAAGTGCTTTCGCAATCCCGGCAGCTGGAAACATTTGAAGGTTAAACGGTTATGGCAAATTACATATTAAAGTCTTCATATGACTATGATTCTCATTTACGTTTCACAAGTCTATTTTTCGGTACAAAGCAAAATTCTGGTAAGATATGATTACATTGCCTGGATAAAGAATACAAGTATAGCACTGCTGATACTGAATGAATGATACGAGTGATTAAAGTGCAAAGAGTTTCCGCAAGAACAGCGCCTTTGTGTTGTAGAGAGTGTGGTGAATTTCTCCAGGACAATATTCGAAATGCAACGGAAGACTGTTCAGATCTTGGAAGAACGCTGGGCAGAACTTGCCAAGGATCAGCTGAGTGAACAAATGTGAAGGGAAGGAATCAACTTGTTCAAATTGTCTCTATTCATGCAGTAATAAATTTGCATTTTATTTCTCGAGCTCGTTGCATCAACCGCTATGGATTTAGTTGTGAAACATGTAATAAATCTCGAACTATTTTCCAGCTATGGTCGAGTATGTAGTAGTACATAGTTGTTGTAATTTAGCAAACTAACATTTGGAAATATCGCAAAATTTCGGCAAAAAAATGGCGTTGTTAACTTGGTGCACGACGCATGGAAAGAACTGAGCTTCCGTTTCCTGTTCACCGCAATGCTTAGCATGAAGCCGCTCTAGAGCATAGTGGTATTCCATCACGTACTGCAGATCTTTCACGAGGCGGTTACGAATTTTCGAATTTGCTTGATATTTGTTATCAACTTATCAAGCATCACTAATAGCATAGCTACATAAGCAATCGACTAAAAACTGCAGTTACAATTTTTGCATGAATATCCTAATTTGAAACGCTTCACAATCTCTCCAACTAGAGAAATAATACGAGATAAAACTCCGTCCCGATTTCCAATACACTCTGAACTCTGCCACATCTCGAAACCGCGAAATGTGACCTCTCAGAAACCGTACAAGAAGCAGCTTTCCCAGATCTCCCTAGTCGGTAACTTCATTTCTTTATATTTTGCATTTCTGTGGTAATTTTTACAACTTTTGTCCATGCTGACTGCAAACTTCGGTTTTCTTAGGTTTCTCAATGTACAGATACAGTTTGTATCTGTACATTATTCGATCAATGTTCACCAGTTGTTGCACGATCTATCACTCAACATGCACATCAGTTCCTACTTGTTTTCATGGCCGAGTACGGAACGCCTGAATTAGCAATTCCAGTCCGCGATGGTAACAGTACTGTGACGCATTTATTCTGCCAACGACAAGTTCCACGTTCCCGCTCCTCCTGCATGCTGTTTTAGCCGTGAACACCATTTTCCAAGGAAAATTTATTAAACATTAAAAAAACTCAGAAAACCTTCGTAAAACTCGAAAGACCAATAAAATAGTTAGAACAGAACGCCGGTTAAGAGAATTCACCAAAAGCGAACCATCGGTCAACGATTTGCCGGTTCACGGTTATTCGATCAAAAAATTATCAAGAAAAATGAAGGCCGAAAGACTGACGATGCTACCAGTACCAGGATATCTTATTCTGTGTTGTCTGAGACTGAACAAAATGGAAACGGACAGGTTTTCATTACTTTTCAAGTAATAAAAGCTTTTCAGGCCAGAAGTATGCCAGTACTGTATAAGAGACAGCTGCAAGGTGAGCTCAACAAAAACTACAACAGAGGTCACAAGGCTGGTCGAAACTCTGCCTATTTAGCCATGTCACGACTGACCCAACCAGGCCAGCAGTACACGTTACGATTTATTCACCACGTAACCCACGTGCCCAAGGCGCAGAGCTCCTTATAAAGCTTTGCAGTTTTCAACGTTCTAATCGTTTTAAAACTTATTCAAAATTTTAATCGGTTTTTGGTTTAATTTAGCAACGTGAATTAAATTTTCGAAAACTGACCTTTGCACATAACTAGTACAACGTATAACACGAAACATCGACCTGCCAGTTTTACCCGTGCTTTCCCTTAACTCGATTTTACCAGAATTTCACTGCTCCAAAATGTCGACATTTTTGGGTGTGGAAGCGTTTCGGGATTCACAAATTTCGACTTTACTGCAGAAAGCCAATTCTCTCAAAGCTGCTCGTCGAGAATGCGTGGATATATATAAAGGTATCACCATCTACGTAATTATTATTTGCGATTCCTCTGGATCCACTTGATTTCCTTTTCGGTACCTTATAATCGTTTGATCTGAAACTGTCAGATAAAATTTATTGTAAGACTTGCCTTACGCTTGCTCTGGCAATAACTGCTCTAATCTTTACTTTTTAATTGACGTTTACCGGTTTTGGAATAATCCACCCTTTACCCACTATATTAGAGCATTTCACGGCCGTCAAAAAACACGTTTTCGGAGTGGAAGACCCCAACCAGCCCGCTGAAAACGCGGGCGCCAGCCCCGAGGAGATTGCTGCCGAAGATAAGGAAATTTTGGATAAGTCCCTAGAGGAGCGACAGCAGTATTTTGCGCAGCTGTACGATGAGGCTACCAACTGTACGTTATCAAAACGACGTAACAAACCAGCTCAGCCAAAATTTTATTTAATTAATGAATTTATATTATAATTTTTCACATTTACATTCGCATTACACTCTGAAGTTGTGAGCCACCGATCACTGGCCCCTCGAGTTGTAGATTATGTGATCAACTGCTGAACGAATACTAGCAGCATGTCTGATTGGCGACAAACCGAGAACTCACCTGCCGCATTACATGAGGAATTAGTTGCCGATTAACCTATAGAGTATAGATATCAAGTATATAAACGAATTTCCCGAAATCTGGATCGATGACCGGTTCTACTGTAGATCGATTATTCGATATGTGCTCCGAAAATGATTGGTAGTTAAGGAGTAAATAGTTCGCTTACTTATCAGTTCACTGTTAGGAATTAATGAAAATTAAGTGCTACCCAATCGTCCTCTTACATAAGTATATACAGGTAAACAATTCGAGCAATGATGACTTACGCTTCATATGCAGTGTTAGTACGAGTTATATGACCATATGGAACTAAAATAAAAATCTGTAAAATGTACCATCTACAAGAAAACGTTAAATTGTTCATGCTCCTCGCAGCGTACCGCGGGTCACGGGAGATTCTGCGGAAACTGTCCAGTCTGTTGCGCCGGATCACCAATGAGATGCTGGAGGTTTTCGATCATTTGATTAACTTACAAGTGCCGGAAGCACGTCAGTGGCGGCACGATGCACTAAGGGCTTCTCGGCAGCTGGACGAGCTTCAAGGTTACAATATTATTCTAATTTTTTTAATAAAGCTTGAAATAATAGAATCTTGATTGAAATACATAAATATCAGAATCTAGAGTTAAGTTAAAGTTAAGAATAATTAATTTTGGAAGTTAATTGTATAAAATC